GTATGTGTATTTATAAGTACAAACGAATCCAAGTGTAGAAAAAGTTACCCCGGGGTTAACCCGGCAGTTGCTGGGGTATTTCGCCACCCACCGTTTGCTGGGGGGGGGGGGGGCGTTAAACGCCCCCAGCCGATAACTCGAGAACCAATAGGCGCAGCGAAACGCACGAGGCGGCAAACGAAAGAACGCGACGAGACGCTTCAGATGAGTACTTCAAAGTTGAATTTTGAGGTCACAGGTCGGGTCAAGGTCAGGTCAAACACCTGAAATCGGGCTTTCAGTAGCATGGACTTCAGGACTTCGCAAAGGGCGCCTCTCGTCATAAACTCTGTCAAAACGGTGCACAACCCATCATATAAGGCCTTAAACAGTGTCAGCTCCATGTAGGGGTCATTCAAGCATAGGTCAGGGTCAAGGTCAGGTCAATCGGGCAGGCACATATACCCGAAAATCAAAACTGATATTCGTAGCCTGTGACACATGTTTTATGGGTAATTTGGGGCGTAGAACACGATGGTGACATTCATTTTATCATATGTGTACGTGTTTGGCTAAAAAAGTTCAATTTAAGAAATGCATGTATCATGGTCGTGAAGAAGTCACAAGAAATTGCCAAGATTCAGTTCAAGATTTTGGAAAATGCGGAACGATAATCAATAATCGAAGATAGCCATTTGATTGTACATGGTATTGGCAGTCTAATGGCCTTTACGGCATGTCTGTATGTCTATTTTGTGATTTTATATGATTTTTTGAACATATGCCGTTTTTGGTCGAAAACTCAGAAATCATGACGTCACTAAAACCTCGATAACTCAAAAATTTTCCGACTGATTTTTTTTTTTTGAAACTTTGTCACAATAAGCTTCAATCAATTCCCTACAGGTACCCAAACTTTGGCGCGCCTGCGGCGCGCCGTTTTTATGCTATGGCCCGGCGAAAAAAGTGGGGGCGTTTAACGCCCCCCCCCCCCCCAACAACTCGCGGGTTAAAAGTTAGGTACATGAAGGAACCGATTAGTGTTAACGGTAAGCCATGGAGGGACGGAACCACGAGAAGAATACCTATTTATAATTAATTATTCACTTTATCGGATATACGTCGATGTAGGTATGTATAACTCGTATGTAACATGAAACATTAAAATCCAATGTCGAACAACCGTTCCGCGTAACAAGATCAATGCGGGTTCATCTTCTAATACCTCCTAATACAGCAGCATAACCTCTCCCGTCCGGCCTCCATCGCCTAGTGTCCGTCTCGCTCACTAGATGGCAGTGTCTCCAGGCGTCGCAGTCTCCGGCGGCCGCAGCCGACGGCTCGGCTGCCGAGCAGCGCCAGTCTGAGCCGCGGAACGGTGGAGAACCGACAGCTCCGTGACAGTGTTCACCGCTGTATCTAGCGAGATACAGTTGGCGCAGCGAGATACGAAAGCGAGAATAGCGAGCGATTTGTGACGTGATTTCAAATTGCGAACGATCAGTGCGACGAACGGTGGTGGAACGAACAAGGTATTTGACGGGATCGGATGCCTTTGTGAGAGGAATTTCTCCGGCCTTGAGATGAGGCCGGGCCCTCTGAATGAGCTGGCGTCCATGACTCTGGTCTGGGGTGGAGGTAGCAGTGGTGGTGGCCCCTACTAACAACGTGTGATGACGGTGGTGTTACTAATGAGCGCTCTGTCCCTCGCGCTTCAGCTTGCCGTTATAATTGATATGCAGCATGAGTATTCAAGCTTCTTTCCTTATACGTCCTAGTGGCCGATAATTTTATAGGGCATTGTGATGTGTGCTTTTTCATATATGTAATTGTTTTTATTTTGTCCAGTAACCAAGGGTGAGCAACATCATCCGAAATATATGGACTTCTGAGTTAGATATTATTATTCCAGAGAGTATTCGGATAAGTTAAGCTCATTCGCTCCAAACGGTAATAAATGAGTCAATAGATGACTCATTCAGTGGCCAATAAATGAATGCCTCTAGAAACGTCTAAATTAACACTCACCCAGTCGTGCATGTGATGCTATGAAAGGTGCATTTATACCTACAGTTAGTCTGAGCATGACAACCTTCAGCGTCATTTAGGAAGAGGTAACCCGAAGCGGGACTCAATTGCCTTGTAGCCGTTCCTCTCGAGCGCAGGAAGCGGTATCCTTTCGTTCGTAAGATGCCAGTAAGTCTGATTATGACCGTCTTCGCCTGCTCCAACGCTCCTGTTCCACTCATCATGTATTGTTCTCCCTGAACAATACAACTTCCGTCAGAGATAATTAGCGAGCCAATACCAGCAAACATTCATTCATGTGGTAGATCACTTCCCTGAAGAAAAGGGAGGAAGAATGACGGCTGTAGTTCTGTTCGCCTCTTTTCAAATCGTAGCGATCAAATATTTTCTTGAATGACGTTTGCCAGGAACACACATGAAACACACACGGAACAGCCCTCGAAAGCTTGACATCCGCCTCATTGTCGATTCCAAACAGCTCAGCACTCTGTCCACACAACATCCTCGGCTGGTCCGTGCTACACTCGACCTCACCTCAGTTCCGGTTCGACACTCCTTCGAGCCGAGGCCGCGATCTTCCGTCATCCAAACCGAACCGGTCATCGCCCTCAGTCTGACCCTTCATTGACCTCAACCCCGACCGCGGCTACGCCCTGGTCCGGTTCAGATTCTGCAGTCTCACGAGTTAGCATCTCTGCCGCACGCATCGGCCATCAGTTTCACCTCTGGAGCCGCACTGAGCAGCACGCGCACGGCCCGCACGGCTCTCCGACCCGGCGGCGGGTCGGTCGGCCGAACGGCGTGTCGTAACGCCGCAGAGAGCGGCCGGACCGGTCTCACTGCGGCGGCGGGGCCTCCGCCTGCGGGGGCTGACTCAGACCTGGCGCTCCTGCTGCTGTGCTGGCGTGCGGAGCGGTGGAGGCGGCGGTACCTACCTGGCTAGCCTCTGACGCTCGCTGCCTGTTGGAGGCCGCGCAGAGGCGCTCAGGTGGACAGGACTGTCCGTGACGTCATCCTCTGCGGCGGCCTTCTGCGCTGCTAATGCCGCCCTGCGCCGGAGCAGCCGCTGCTGGCAGAGATACCTCGGCCACTCCGGCCACCAACCGGTCTGTCCTGCCGGTTGTCCCGGAAACCTGCCGCCGTGGCGTGACGAGATTATTCCGACGGAAACAACGAACGGGCAGAGCTGATCCTGTTAGCCACTGTGCGGCAAATGTAATTTCAATCCATTAGGTATATTTGCTGGAATTGCTCGTTAAATGCACAATGCTACATAATGCATAGTTACACTGATAGTGGGTGGTTACAGTTGTAGTGAGCTCAGCTCTTTGCTTGTTAGAAACTGGGTCTCCCAGCAGACTCACACTTTCTGATTCATGTGGGCGTCAGTTGGGTGGTAAAATTTACGGTGAATTCATCCCTGACCAAGAGCCCGATCGCTCCGTGGCTCACGTTTGCTTCATCATCCGGCTGCCTCGCCGGTCGACTCAGTCCGCGTCGTGAGTTGATTCAGCTGGCCTGAGCCAGTCACGGCCTCCTTCCTGGCCCCTGCCGAGTCCGGAATCATTCGCTGCAGGGTCGTGACCGTGATCCTGAGATTGTGACGGTCGCTGTCGGCTTACAACTCGCCCTCGCCCAGTCGGCGACACGCCAGGTGACCGCAGTGTCACAACTATGGCGCAGTCATGACAGTCCGACACTGATCTTTCAGCTGTTGGCTCAGTGCTCTGTGCTACAATAGTGACACTGAAATAACAAAAAGCTTGGCAGTGTGCGCGAACGGAGGGCAACTTTCTCCGTCTGTGGTGTTTTTGGCTCCGCGTGCGGACATTGTTCAGGCGTGGGTGGTTCTTGACCTCGAGACATGCCAGGGTGTTTGTCCGGGAGCTGCGCTGACTACCTGAGCTGAGAATTTTCCCGGGCACTGGGTTCAGAGTCTGGCATGTGCCAACCTTAAGAGCATGGGATCCAGAATATCAGGACTGCATTATTTATTATCGAGCTATTTCGGTCAGCTCCATTGAGTGAAAATGATTCTTGGGCTATAAAATGCAGCATTCGACACGCGATGCATGACTATTTTGGTTCTATTTCTTTGATAAATGACATCCGCAGTTTCATGGCAAATCAACTGCGTCACTCATTGATTTGATTTGCAACCAAATTGGATGGACGGAATTTCCTTATGTCTCAGTTTAGCTTATCGCGTAGCGCAGCACTGCTTTTGACACCTTTTTGGGATCCCATTATGCAAAGACGTGACGGCACTAATGTCCATGCACACACTTCAACGCCCAGTAACACTCGACAACACCGAGCAACACCATAGAGACACGATGTCCCACCATACAAGAGCTGGTGATCATGGAACGAACCCTGAAAGCACCTTTTCGTTACCTATTCATCGATTAATCGCACGCTATACCACCTCCTACGCCTTCCTGAAGACAGCGAAGAGTGGCGGGTTTTGCCGAAGGTCACGAACTTTTCAGCTATGTGCTGACCGGCGCAGTTTTGCATGCCGAGTCACTCCTTGTATCCTTGTGTTCGTTCAGTAACCGCCCGGTGAACAGGCATGCATGTGAGTCACGCGTTGGTGAGTCGTTTGTTCTGTGGTGCGGGTGACGATGGTGACGAGTGGCATTGTACTATTACTGTGTGTATTTTCTTCATGCTCTGTCTATCATCTGCGTGCACTTATGTTAACAGTTTTTCTTCGCCTTCTTTTTCTGCCACGTAAATGTTTGTATTTTAACTACTAATCAGCATGATGGAAGTGTCAAAGCTTAGAGTAATATTGTATAATGTATCGCTCTTTATTTTTCCAAAACATGATCGGTTATTACATTTTACCTTCACTTCATCTTCTTCTTTGTTGCTCTTTAATTTCTTTCACCGCTTTTGTCACACAGCTTTTTAACACCACGTCTGCTGCATGCCCCACCCCAGACCAGAGTCGCCGCCTCTCTAACCCCGATTTCGTCCTTCCTCAGCGGTAGACGGTGCGGAATGCCAGCTGATAATGTTGAACTTTTCACTGAGGATGCCGGAGAACCTGCCGCGCCCGCTGCCGCCGCCCCGGCCACCCAAACTCGTCTCATCGGCATCGTCTCGTAGTTTCGATGGCCACCCTCGCAAGCTGCTGGCGACGGCGGCGCTGTCTCCGGAGATATACATGACTGCTGCGGATGCTGTACAGTCAGCTCCAGCGACCGCTACAACGACTTTGTCAGCCCCAGCCCCGGCCACGGCGACGGACACAACCACGACACAGGCAAAGGAGAATGGGACTGTAGCAGTGGGCCGGGCCGGTGCGTCAGTTGTGAGGCGGAACACCAAGCCAAAGCCGCCGCCGCTGCCGCCGAAGCCTGTGCTGACCCGGAAACAGACTGGCAGGAGGGTGACGATAGCGGGAGTGCCTTCGGCGCCGGTGCCAGTGGTGTTGCCGACGCCGTCAGGCACGCCGCCTCTGAGTCTTGCGTCAGATATCAGCACGGCATCAGAGAGTGATACGGTCTCTGAGACGAGCACACTGCTGGCGCCGGAGTCGACGTCAGGACAGGAGCCCGGAGTGAGTGAGGAGAGAGATACAGTGGAGAGGTTGGCAGACAGTCCTCTGAATGACAGCGGCGTGGGAAGTGAGGCGGGCTCCGACCCGCCGGGCAGTGTGCACTCGTGGCTGTACAGCTCGCGGGCTCCGTCACGGGTAGCCCCTCCGCCTCCTCTGACTACCTCCGCCTCCTGCGACCGGGTCAGTCCAGCGCCTCCTCCGCTGCCTCCATCAGGACCCTCTCGTCGTCACAGCGCCGCGCTGCCGCCAGACCGAGGACCCGTACCGGAGCTGCCTCCGCGCCGACCGTCCGACCGTCGACACAGCCTCGTCAGCGGACATCTTCCGCTAGAACCGGGCCCAGAGCCGCCGCCGAGACCGTCCAGCGCACAGGCACGGGACGTGACGCCGACACCCTGCCCACTGCGCGCGGGGAGCTCCAACTCCAGTTTGACGTCTTCGCTCGACTCGTCGAGCAGGACGGTGACGCCCCGCAAACTCCGTCTACCCGACCCGCCACCCGAGGAAGATTCAGGTGTGTTAAGGTGGTCCTTTGCATCGGAGTCCATCGCTTTGCCAGTCGGAAGTCTGCTTGTCGCTGTCCCATTGGCTTGCTTTTGCTTCAGCTAGAATTGCTTGGTTCAGAATTCTTAAAATTCATAAGGGTCACGTTACTTGCATTTGCTTCAATTTGCGATTAGTTAAATCACTTTCCAGGAAGTTAATCTAGTACAACTTAGTTCAGACGACATTCCTGACATACATAAACCTCCCTTTGCTGTCTAAACGGGGCCAATTCGTTAGCGCCTGGCCGTTCTGCGTGCCACTTTGGCTGCGGCCGGAAGCACGGTGGCCGGGCGATCTGTCCGGTGGTGTTTCTGTGGCACCGACAAGTGTCAGTTCGCGTCCGCTGGCCTCGATCGGTGACCCCGCGTAACCCGAGGTGACCCGAGGTGACCGCCGCGGCTCTGTGACCCGCCAGTGTACGTGGTGTCGGCTACGTCAGTCATCTACATCGGCAACGAGAGCTCACACGACCCCGGCGATTACGACGCGCCTTATGAGCGTAATTATTACAACGCGGCGCGGCCACGCGCTGTCACAGATAACAGCGCCGTGCTGAAGCACACGTGCCATGAAGAGAATGGCGAGCTGCAAGAGCTCTCCGTGTGGATGGACAACGAAGGTAGGTTGGTCTGAGAGCACGGGGAAGGAGTATGGGAGCTGGGAGTCTGGGCTCAATTCCCGACGCGGGAGGTTTTGTCCCCTACCTTTATGACTTTGAGTGCAAAATTATTTCGATGAGGAGGAGGAGTTTGTGCGTTGAGCAATTTCATCACTAGAAGTTAGCAATTTCATGGGTGATGTTGAAAGATTATGTGCATTGCATTGGTAAATATACCTACTTACGAGAAAACCTCAACGATTAATATGCAGCCAGGTTTATTTATTTATTTATTTATTGCACTTCATCAGATCGTTCCGCTAAAATAGGGCTATTCTCCGATCTGCATCGTCATGACAATATGCATAGGCATGAAAAAAACACACATACACACACCAGATAAATTGAGAGGTACAATGACGGCATAGCAGTGACAAAGTACACTATCACGGCATAGACCTAACCGACTGCGTTACTCTGGCGCAGTAAGTCCTTCACCTTGGCCTTAAACGTTGCTACACTCAGACCAGCCAAGCCGTTTTGCAGCGCCATTCGATTGTACAGGGAGGCGGCTCGGTGCACAAATCGACGTTTGCCATGGTTGTTTTTCGCACGACATACGGCTAAAAGGTGCGACTGTCTGGTGTCTCGACACACGTGCTCATGGTTATAGGACATATAAGAACGCAGTACATCAGGCTTCCCCGACTTAAGAATGCCATGCATCAGTCATGACATGTCCACATGCGCTATAAACTCGGGTACACGCAGCCATGCAAGTTCGTCTAGCACATCAGAAACATGATCAAATTTTCGCCGCCCGGAGATAACTCTGGCTGAGAAGTTAAAAACTTTCTGTAATCTGGCTATGGTCGTGCGATTGGCGCTACCGTATACAGGAGCACAGTACCGCACATGGGACAAAACGAGAGAGTTGACACTTGACAAGCCGAGGTAAAATAGAATGTGGAACAATGTGTCTGATGTTCATGAGACCGATAAGAATTCCGAAGCAGCGGTTGATGATGGTGTTGATGTGCGCTTCCCAGGTGAGCTCGGGGTCAAAGCTCAATTGACCCGCAGGTCAAAGCTGTAAAGGGTGGCATACACCACAGAGCAGCGTATTGCCTAAGCTCGTCCGCTGGAGTGAAGCATACCGCGCGCTGTATATGGCCTGCAGCTTATGACTGCGAAGCTTGAACATTGCTTGCAAGCTCAGCTGCTGTAGAAAGGAAGCAGATATGTGAATGGCTTGTACTGCACAGTGCACGATCTACTGATAGTGCCAAATACTTGGCCACATTTTGTCCGTTTTGCCGTGTTGCTTAGGTTCAGAGGTCGGAAAATAGTTGAAATTGTTGCAGCTTGTTGAGCTCTTCTTTTCTTAACAAGTTGGGTTATTGTGTCGGGACAGTGCTTGCAGAAACCTGAACTTACTTTCAGGTGTAGTACGTTTTTATACATTGTTGCGCTTTATATTAATGCTCAAATGCTGTAGCCTTCATGCATTTCATTTGATCCAGTTATTTCCATTACCTAATTTCTATTTTAACATTTCTTTTCTAAAGTATTTTAAATTGGCGCTCTAGACTGTAAAATGCATCAGCAGCCATCGATACGCTTTCGAGACTCAGCCAAGCGCTCTGCCCACTCTCCGGTCCGTGAGTTCGTCCCGTTTGCCGAGCGTTAACCAACTCTGCCGCAACAGTGACGATGTGGGTCAGTGCAGTGTGCAACATGGACGGTGGCGACCGCACGGTGCCAATTGCCGCCTCGGATACCGGTCATTTACCGGTGCCGTGGCGGATATCACTCAGCAGCCCGCTCTGCTGAGACGGTTTTCCGAGTGGGTATCTTCTATGAGCCAAGCAACAGACCGAAACGACGAGCAGCGATGTTGTCGCGTTCACATGAGTCCCAGGATAGGCCAGGAACATTTTTTTATGATTGCACCTTCTGCGAGCTCAAAGTCAGTTCCGGCGACTGTCCAGCGGCGCCTCCGTCGTCCCACTTGCGCTGTCGTTGCTGCTCGGCTACTCACGCGTTAGGTAACCGTTCCTGTGCCCTGCGGCGGTGCAGCGACGGCCAGCGCTCCGCGCCACAGAGGTGCGACATTCGTGACGCTCCCAGGCCGTGATGCGGCGCGTGCGACGGCGTCACGCTGCCGTGACGTGACACGTGAACCGTCACGATCGGCGCGAGGTGACCGTGATGAGAAACTGAAATGGAGCGTGCGAGAAATGGGCCGCGGGAGGTCATCCAGTGAAATTAGTCTTCGGGTACTGGGTCCAGGTGAGCTCGAAGATTTTATTGTCGGGCCCGCTGTCCATGTGGCGACATAGTTCAGAGGTGAACTTTCCAGACCAGTTTGCTCAGGCGGCATTCGATTACTCCCTTCATCAGTTTCTCCAATCGCGGGATGCGGGCATCATAAGTTGGCTCGTCGACGTCGGAATCCAATTCTTGCGGAACAACTCACTCGCTCAAAAAGTGATTGAGCTGTGTCAGAAATTACTGAGTGCAGTATCCACACCTTGTAGAGAGTACAGATAATTATAGGGTGATCGTGATAGGCATAATTACCACGGCTTTGCTCATATGGAGTATGCGCATAAAGCCTTTTTATATTACTTCATCGAACCGCATTTGTTATGTCACGCAACGCTTTTGTGTAGCATTATTTTGTGACGTTTTTATTACGCCTCGATATCGGCAACTTTTTACAGTTTTTTCATAGAGATCAGTTACTTTTCCATCAAACTTTTTGTTCCGGTCTTACATTATAGTTGGGTACTATACCTACTCGAAAGCAATCCCAATCGTCACTTTTTATTAACGCGCTGTGAATATCACTGTTAACTTCTAGTGTGGTCTGTCAATCTACCATGGTCCTCATTGGTCTTAAAAATCTGATATATGTAGGCTATTATAGTCAGATCATGTCATATTTCCGCTATGTCAATGCGGGGAAGAGTTTATTTGAACCAATCTCCTTCAACTACTAAAACGTGTTGGTTAGAGCGTGTCTTGCCGTGTAATGAAGGTCATCTTGTCTCCGGTTTGTCGGAGAGATTAGCTTCATGCAGACATCCACAGCCGGACCACCGTAATCGATCAAATATGCTAGGGGCAGGTTGACTGGCAAATTCCTTTCGAGATTGGTTGTTGGTGAGGAAGGGGCGATGTGGTCCGTCTAATGGCGTCCTTGCGATAACCTTTAACGCCTTGATGGGCGAAGATAACATCAGACTTTGATTGTTTTATCAACGTGCTGGGAAGGCATTGGTGGGAAACGAAGTGGTAAATCCTTTATCCTGATGGCAGTCAGACCAGCCCTTGACACTTAAAACGCGGCGTTATTTTCAACGGCCGTGATCGCCTCTCCAATTGTGTCAATTGTGGTCACAGCCAAGGTCTTCTTTGCTATCAAATATATAGCAGGATCTGTTGTACTCACGAGGTCATCTTATAGTCTGCCCAAGGGATGTTGCCTGCGGTTAGGAGTGAGATGACGTCACTCATTAGTAGTGACGTCATAAGGTGGTGTTGGCTCAGGCCAGGGCCACAAGATAGAGAGCTCCGGGTTGCACCCACGTTGATCGTGACTTTGGTAGCGTTGGTAAGCTTGCATCCGAAGAAGGAAGGGCTAGCAAAGCTGTGGTATGACGAAACTGAAGCTTGCCTTATCACTTTACTGCTGATGCGTTTCAAATGCGAGTGGCTCATAAACTGGTGACGCAAAAGCTCCTAAACAAAATCACCCTCACTCGTGCCCCCGTTTACTGAACTATCATACGATTTTCAAACCCGGACCGGCGCAGGATGAGGACAAAACGTGCAAACATAACTGTCCTTGTTCTTTGAAACAAACAATGCACCTGTTCAACAACTGCATCACAGCAGCAGACTTGCCCGCCAAGTTTCCTGCCGCGCGGTGCCTTTCCTTCATACGGGCGCCTGTCTTGTCACCTACCACCTGCAGTGTGGGGGTGCTGGCTGCGCGGTGCCTTTTGTCTCGGTCACACCCCAGCGTCAGGCCCAGCTCGGGTGGGCTGACCTTGCCCCAGTTGTCGGAGGACCTCTCACCCAGCCGCCCGCGCAGAATCGGACAACGGCTAGCGGCGTAATGGCGGTCATTGGTCAGCGTTCGGCGGTCAGTGGTTACTGGTCACTGGTCAGATGTCATTTGCCAGTGGTCATTATTTAGAGGTCAATCGTCAATGGTCGGTGGTTAGCGCTCGCTAGCAGGCATGCAGCGTTTACTGGTATTTACTGGCCCGCCAAGTTTCCTGCCGCGCGGTGCCTTTCCTTCATACGGGCGCCTGTCTTGTCACATATACTACCTGCAGTGTGGGGGTGCTGGCTGCGCGGTGCCTTTTGTCTCGGTCACACCCCAGCGTCGGGCCCAGCTCGAGCGGGCTGACCTTGCCCCAGTTGTCGGAGGACCTCTCACCCAGCCGCCCGCGCAGAATCGGGCAACGGTTACCGGCGTAATGGCGGTCATTGGTCAGCGTTTGGCGGTCAGTGGTCACTGGTCAGATGTCATTTGCCAGTGGTCATTATTTAGAGGTCAATCGTCAATGGTCGGTGGTTAACGCTAGCTAGCAAGCTTGCAGTGTTCACTGGTATTTGCAAGGGATTATTACATAGTCCTAGCCCCCAGTTGAGATTGCATTCGGTCTTTGATCGGGTCGTTGGTAATTTTAATGTATTTGTAAGATGGTTGCTACAGTTATTGGTCGGCGATCATTGGTCAGCAGCATTCAATATCAGTAGGCAGTCGGTCAGTGGTCGTGTCCTCGGTGCATCTCAGAAAGGGCGACAGCTGGTTGCCGAGTCACGTTTACCGTCACGGTGTCCACTCCTAGAATGTCACAACCGAGGATGTCCTAACTTACGATGTCACACCATCTGCCATCTGGCGTCACAGCGTCACAAAAGTCACACATTGTCACACAAGTCACACATTGTTCATCCCGTTATCCTGTGACATAGAGTTTTGTATACCGAGGCCTACAAAG